CAAAACTCCTGCACCCTTGGGCATCGAACAAAAAGGTGGGGGATCGTTTCCACCTGGCCGCAAGCTGCTGCACAGGTTTGGTCCTTATGACAACTCTTGGCAGCCTGCCACTGCGCAGTTGGGATTAGCAGGCCCGCCTGCTTTTGGTCTGGCAAGGCAGCCATGATGTTGCATTGTTCGTTCCACTTTCGTTGAGTCCAATTAGCAAGGCACACGTCCGGGAGCCACTCTCGTTTAGCCCACCTCGCCTTCAGTATGTTCACTGATTCCAACAGCGAGTTGTAAACAATCTTTGTGGTGACCTCTTGGAGTGGCATCGATCTCCTGTGCGTCCTCTGAGGAGGCCATTCCCAATCTGCCGGGTTCCAGGCAAGGGCTCTCAACCGTGTTGCGGTGCAAAAGGGTAGGTAGTGTCCAGCCTCTTTCTTCCCTCCTTCACATACCGCAACCGTTTCCACCAGAGCTCGTGCTATTTTCCTCACAGCGTGCAGGTCCTGCAGTGGTTGCCCCAACCCCTCCCATCCCCGTCCCGGCCTGTCCTTCCATACAGTGACCTCCAGGTCCCCATTCGGCAGTACCTGCTTGACTCTATAGAGCCTTTCGGGTGCCTCACTACCCTTAAGCTCGACCCACTGGCCTACTACCATCTCATTTTTTTTTAGCACTTCCACCCATTGAGTCGGAATAGCCTCTCTCATGTACTTGACCCTTTGGCCCCTCTTCATGCACCCCTGCAGTGCAAGATCCATTTCCTCATCTGTATGCCAATCCTTCCGATCCTCATCCCACAAATGTCCCACCTTGAAAATGCCCTGCTCCGCCCATTTCCATCCATAGGCCTCTCGCGCCCCCTGCCATGGGTAGGGGTCCCCTGCCTCGTCACAARTAAACCGGTTATCAAAGAGCAGCTGGTTAAAAATAGCATCCGCTGTGTCGGGGAGCCGACATCTCACCTGGATCTTCTTCCACAGGGCCAGTTTCTGAGTCCACACAGTCCCCCTCCGAATATGACCCATCGCGGAGCTGCTGAGCAGGCAGAGGTCTACCAGTTCCCTAGGGACCTGGAGAGCATAAGCAAGATGAGACAGCGTAACCTCTTGCCAAGTTGCCCCCTCCGAGCGCAGCAGGGCCCAGATGAGCTGTCGCAATTGAAGTGCAATTATCCGTAAGCGCGGATCCAGCAGGCCCAGCCCACAAAACCTTCTTGGTTGAATTAGCTTACMCCAGGCAACTCTGCAGATAGAATTCTCTGACCTCGCGTTGTTTGACCACAGATGCGCTTGGACCGCCCTCCTAATATATTGGAAGGTACGCCTCCCTGGCATATGAATTGAGCCCGCGTACCACAGGGTGGCCAGCACCGAATTCTTAATCACTATAGCCTTTCCAAAAGGCCCCATGCTCCCTCTCGCACTCCATGCTTGCAGTCTTGCCACCGCCGCTGTGGCCCGTATCGCCATCTGCTCAATTCCTCCATAGCTCGGTGTTAGATTGGCCCCCAAAAATGCCATTCGCTCTCCTTCGACCACTGTGGGAATATCCCACCCTTCTGGAGGGTCCATCCCCAGAGGCAGAATGGCCCGAGACTTCTGCCAATTCACCCGTGCGCCTGAGTACCTGCAGAAGGTTGCCATGTCCTCTTTGAGAATGCCCAGCTGCTGAGCCGTTGGAACGAGTACTGCACCTGTGTCATCCGCAAAAGCTGTAGATTGCAGTTCCGCTCTTGGTCCCGCCTTGAGACTGATAAGGCGTCTGTCGGCCCGCAATATCTCGTGCAGTGACTCAATGTAGATGACATACAGGGCAGGAGAGAGCGGGCAACCCTGCCTCACCGACCGAGTCACCCGCAACCTGTCCGATCTCACCCCATTGACTTGCATCACAGTCGAGGCTCCCTTTAGGAGGCCACGAATCAACTGCACAGGATAGGCCCGACCCCCCTTCGCGCCATACTTTGCAGTAAAAATTCCCATCTGACCCTGTCGTAGGCCTTCTCAAGGTCTATTGACACAAAGGCCAGTGCCTGACCTGTGCATTGCTCCTCCTCCARTATCTGCTGTGCTAATAAAATATTCGACAAGATCTGGCGACCTGCCACAAACCCGGTCTGAGTGGAGTCAATGATACTTGGTAGGACTTCCTTCAACCGGTTTGCCAAAACTTTGGCAAGTATTTTATATAGCGCATTCAGGATGGAGATYGGGCGCCAGTTCCGCACGTCCTCCTTGGCTCCTTTTTTGAAGAGTAAAACCACATACGCATCCGCAAAGCCTTGAGGAAGGGTGCCTCCCTTCACAGCCTCGTTATAGGCTGCTGTCAGCAGAACTCCGAAAAAAGTACGGAGTTCCTTATGAAGTTCCACCGGCATTCCATCCAAGCCAGGCGTTTTGAGCCTAGGGAGCTCTGCGATCGCTCGTACCACTTCCTCTTCCGTGATGTCCTCTTCCAACTTACAAGTTTCCGCAAGATTGAGGCGGCTCTGTACATGGCTCCAAATATCCAGCTCCGGTTCGCCGGCCATCTCCTCAGGAGTCCATTGCTCTTCCTCCGTGAGCAGTTGGCGATAGAAATCGGTAACGCACTTCAAAATTCCCCGAGTAGTACGCTGTTGCTCCATCTGGCCATCAAAGGGGTGATCCATGGCGGTCATTATTGGTGCTGCCTTTTTCGTTGCCACTGTAGCAAAGAACTGTCRTGACATTCGTTCCCCCAATGTGATCCATGTCTCCTTGGTGCGCCTACCCCATTTAACCGCTTCCTCTGTCTGCCACTCCCTCCATCCTCGTGCTGCTTCCACTCTCTCTCCCCACCATTCTTCCTCCATCTGGCCCTCCTCAGGGCCGTTGGCCAATTCCTCCATCCTTTGGGCGTGCTCCTCCATTGTCTTCTTGTGCGCCGAGTAGTTTCCCCGCAACAGCTTCTGCAAGATGTTCCGCAAGCTCTGCACTGCTATTATAACTTGTGGCAGGAGCTGTTCCTGAGTGCAGTCTTTGGCCCAGTCCTCCCAAAACTTAACAATGACAGGGCCATACTCCGGGCTTTTGAAAACCCATGCTGGAATGGCTTTGGGCGGGCGGCCTACCTCCAGGCGACCCACCGGAAATGTCGCAATTACTGCTGAGTGGTCCGACGTGGCCATCGGTACAACGCGCACTTGCTCCACAGTTTCGTTCAGCTCCCCCGACGCCCATATCATGTCGATGCGACTCCTTCGGGTAACAGTGTTTCTCCAGAAAGTAAAGGCCCTCTCCTGCGGGTGCAATGTTCTATACGAATCTGTACATCCCAGGCTCGTCATACCGTTGACCAGGGCCATAGAATCTGCCTCCCCCTGCCGTATAGTTGCTGCGTCTCGTTCCGGATCTACTAGCGAGTTAAAATCCCCTGCTATTATGAGATTGTCAATGTCCGGAACTAAAGTCTGCAGGCGCTCCCACATCCTGCGCCTTGTGCCCAATTCTGACGGTCCGTAGATGGTAACTACCCCCCATATCGTTTCCCCCCACT